GGAACTCTGTGTTCATCAAGAACTGCAAGAAGCCCCTATCACGAGCCTTTTCCATCCTATGGAGAGGGAGCATGGACACGGGGGTCGTCCCACAGTTACTAAAAACAACAGACATAGCCCCACTCCACAAAGGGGGCAGTAAAGCAACAGCAAAGAACTACAGACCAATAGCACTAACATCCCATATCATAAAAATCTTTGAAAGGGTCCTAAGAAGCAAGATCACCACCCATCTAGAAACCCATCAGTTACACAACCCAGGGCAACATGGGTTTAGAACAGGTCGCTCCTGTCTGTCTCAACTATTGGATCACTACGACAAGGTCCTAAATGCACTAGAAGACAAAAAGAATGCAGATGTAATATATACAGACTTTGCAAAAGCCTTCGACAAGTGTGACCATGGCGTAATAGCGCACAAAATGCGTGCTACAGGAATAACAGGAAAAGTCGGTCGATGGATCTATAATTTCCTCACTAACAGAACACAGAGAGTAGTCGTCAACAGAGTAAAGTCCGAGGCAGCTACGGTGAAAAGCTCTGTTCCACAGGGCACAGTACTCGCTCCCATCTTGTTCCTCATCCTCATATCTGACATAGACAAGGATGTCAGCCACAGTACCGTGTCTTCCTTTGCAGATGACACCCGAATCTGCATGACAGTGTCTTCCATTGCAGACACTGCAAAGCTCCAGGCGGACATCAACCAAATCTTCCAGTGGGCTGCAGAAAACAATATGAAGTTCAACGATGAGAAATTTAAATTACTCAGATATGGTAAACATGAGGAAATTAAATCTTCATCAGAGTACAAAACAAATTCTGGCCACAAAATAGAGCGAAACACCAACGCCAAAGACCTGGGAGTGATCATGTCGGAGGATCTCACCTTCAAGGACCATAACATTGTATCAATCGCATCTGCTAGAAAAATGACAGGATGGATAATGAGAACCTTCAAAACTAGGGAGGCCAAGCCCATGATGACACTCTTCAGGTCACTTGTTCTATCTAGGCTGGAATATTGCTGCACACTAACAGCATCTTTCAAGGCAGGTGAAATTGCCGACCTAGAAAATGTACAGAGAACTTTCACGGCGCGCATAACGGAGATAAAACACCTCAATTATTGGGAGCGCTTGAGGTTCCTAAACCTGTATTCCCTGGAACGCAGGAGGGAGAGATACATGATTATATACACCTGGAAAATCCTAGAGGGACTAGTACCGAACTTGCACACGAAAATCACTCACTACGAAAGCAAAAGACTTGGCAGACGATGCACCATCCCCCCAATGAAAAGCAGGGGTGTCACTAGCACGTTAAGAGACCATACAATAAGTGTCAGGGGCCCAAGACTGTTCAACTGCCTCCCAGCACACATAAGGGGGATTACCAACAGACCCCTGGCAGTCTTCAAGCTGGCACTGGACAAGCACCTAAAGTCAGTTCCGGATCAGCCGGGCTGTGGCTCGTACGTTGGTTTGCGTGCAGCCAGCAGCAACAGCCTGGTTGATCAGGCTCTGATCCACCAGGAGGCCTGGTCACAGACCGGGCCGCGGGGGCGTTGACCCCCGGAACTCTCTCCAGGTAATCTCCAGGTAAAATGCCTAGCCATGCTAGGCGTTCTAGTGGTACCCTCTGTAATCGTTATTTAACTACATGTAAACCACACAACAACCAAATTCTGTAAATTCAACATTGTAATCTTTATAGAGAATAAACTTTGAATTGAATTGAATTGAATTGAAATGCTCAGCCTAACCAGGGAACCACAGCCCTTGGATCAAGAGCCCTTCAGCAAGATCAAGGTACCCACCCCCAAGAAAGCAATAATAAGGTGAAAATCCCCAATAAAACAGCAAAATAAGAGACGACATGAGTAGAGATGACACCCAGGAGGCAGCAGCAGCAGCCATCACTACAACACTAGTATTATTGTCTTTATTAATCATGCGCTTGCATATTTCAAATCTTACCTTACTAACAGGTATCAATATGTCACCATTAAAGACACAGCATCAACAACACGGCCACTTGATACTGGAGTTCCGCAGGGAAGTGTCCTTGGTCCCCTGCTTTTCCTCATATACTGTGATCTTCCAAACATATCCCAACACGACTCACGAAATCGTAATGACACGATTGCAAACAAACCATACCCAGGCCGGAATAGAACTCGCGGTCAGAGAGTCTCAAAACTCCAGACCGTGGCTAACGCGACGGTCTGGAGTTTTGAGACTCTCTGACCGCGGGTTCAATCCCGGCCTGGGTATGGTTTATATTCCAACACCTTAACCCCATTCTCTTTGCTGACGACACGACTTATGTCAACTCCCACCCTAATCTTGCCACCCTCAACACCATTGTTAACGAGGAGCTACTCAAAATATCGACTTGGATGACAGCCAATAAACTTACACTTAACACTGACAAAACCTACTATATTATGTTTGGTAGCAGAGCAGGTGTTGCGCAACTTAAAATTAAGATCGACAACACTCTAATTACCAGACATAATGAGGGCAAATTCCTAGGCCTATACCTTGACAACAACCTGAATTTCAGCACCCATATCCAACACATAACCAAAAAAGTATCCAAAACAGTTGGGATTCTCTCCAAGATACGATACTACGTGCCGCAAAATGCCCTTCTCACACTATACCACTCACTTATTTATCCATACCTCACCTATGCTATCTGTGCTTGGGGTTCAACTGCAGCAACACACCTAAAGCCAATAATAACCCAATAAAAAGCTGCAGTAAGAATAATCACTAAATCCCATCCCTGGCAACACCCCCCCCCCACTCTTCATAGATCTAAACTTACTCCCAGTTCAGTACATCCACACTTACTACTGTGCAATCTATATCTACAGGACCTTAAACTCCAGTATCAACTTTGACCTAAAACGCTTTCTTGATAGTTGTGACAGAACCCACAGGCATAACACCAGACACAAACATCTCTATGACATTCCCCGTGTCCAACTAAACCTTTACAAAAATTCAATGTATGTCAATGGCCCTAAAATCTGGAACACCCTACCTGAGAACTCTAGAACTGCAGACACATTCATCACCTTCAAAACTACCATTAGAAAACATCTTATCTCCCTGATACACCCTGTCAACTAACTATGCGAATACCACCTGGTGGTTCACACTTTCACTCACCCATTTGACCATAAACAGAAATATTAATCTCAATCTTAAAATAATGAATCCAAACTAGTCATAAGTTGGCCTGAGATACTCCAATACTGAAACTATGTATTGTGCCAAAACAAAAGCATTCACATTGCTAAACTCACAAACTAGTATTTAGTCACTTAGCCATAATACCAACTTACCTCATAATTTGTAATATTTTAAAGTTAAGAATTAATCTAAATCTGCCCGAAATGCCTAGCCATGCTAGGCGTTCTAGTGGTACACTCTGTAATTATTATTTTATTACATGTAAACCACACAATAACCAAATTCTGTAAACTCAGCATTGTAATCCTTATAGAGAATAAACTTTGTATTTGAATTTGAACTTGAAGAATGAGACACTTATGCAACAAATGGGAATCTTTATTGAGGAAACGTTTCGCCACACACTGGCTTCATCGGTCTTATATAAAGAAGAATGGTGTAAAGAGACGAGTAATTTGAGGTAATAAGTCCCTTAGCCACTTTGACTTTTTTGGGTTATCCCAAGTTCTCTACACATATGCTGCTATGTATGATAATCTATGTAACTGTATTTGTGTATACCTGAATAAACTTAATTATTTACTGAGGGACTGACCACCTCAAATACTATTTCTCCAATGCTGAAGGACCGGTCACATCATCCTCATGTCACTACTACACTTGCTGCCTCTGTATTTGACTGAAGAAGCCGACTGTGTAGGCGAAACATTTCAACAATAATGACACCCAATTGTTGCACATGTGTCTTAATCATCATCTATTTCTGTATAAACATTATATCATGCTGAAATAAACATGTGATTAATTGTCCACTTATTGAGGAATTAGACACATGTGCAACTCTTGGGTATCTTTATTGAGGAAACATTTCGCCACACAGTGGCTTCATCAGTCCATACAAAGGAGAATCTTGAAGAACAGGAGGAGAATGAGGTAATCAGTCCCTCAACCTTGAGTCGATGTGGTCAGTCAATCAATCTTGAATAGAATACGGCATACGTATACGGCATACGGCATACCTCATTCTCCTCCTGTTCTTCAAGATTCTCCTTTGTGTGGACTGATGAAGCCACTGTGTGGCGAAACGTTTCCTCAATAAAGATACCTAAGAGTTGCACATGTGTCTAATTTATCAACATGTCGGTTCTCTGAACCATTCATCTGTCCACTTATTGAGGAATACAGAGACAGACAATATAATAACCTGAAATAAAGATACAGGTGCAACATCTGGGTATCTTTATTGTAGACGTTTCGCCATCCAGTGGCTTTATCAATACAAATTCTAGGACATAACTTGAAGACAGTAGAACTATGTACCGTATAATATGCACAATATAATAACCTATTAATAAGGTACCAGATATACTAAGCAAATTTCATAACTTTGCTTGTAACAGATAAGTGAACTGTAGATATAAATCCAAATGTACACCTGTTAACCCTTTTAAGGCCTAGTTCCTAGGCCTTTTGTGTATCCTTATGTTACTGCGCTACCATTCACAGGATGGATATAAGGTACACAATAAACTAGCCACTTCGGTGGCAAAATCTAATCTACTACTACTATTACTATTTATTAGAAATTTTAGCAAAACAGTTCGCAGTTCGGATAAAATACTTTGAAATTTCTTGAACGTCTGTGAGTAAAGTGTCTCTGAATTCATTTACTGATCAAAATCCATCACATATTGACGCAGGGTGTGACATAATACATCACCTCGCCAACATGTTTCTGCAGACAAGGTGTGTTTCCCCGGACATCAGATGCAGGACCGGATACGGTACAAACTGTATGTGGCCCTACAACCTGCAAGTAGAGGAGGAACAGTACGTTTTGGTGGCCCTTGCCAACCACAACAACAAATCTGCGTGTAATTATAATAAAACTTTATATTGGCCCTGAAATCCAACAGAAGAAGAAGAAGAAGATAAACCTTTATTTAAAATAGTGAGATTAATCTTAGTGTTTGGTGAGCTTTTTTAGGGAAAGGGGATTAATTCATGATTAAGTCATGATATTAAACTGATGTAAATGTAAGACAACGTTATACTGTAATGTAAAAAAAAGATATGATATATATTAATCAGGACACTAATGTAAATGTCAGTGCTCAGTTAGTATGAGGTAAAGACCCACAAGATAGAGCTAATGTACTATCACTAGAACTAGAGTCCTGCAGCAAGTGGTTGGTAGACACCTCGGGGAAACAGAAGCCGTACTTTGTGCACCAAACATAAACTGAGAAGGGTAAATAGTTTTAATGTCCAGTGTAATGGGGAGCCCATTACTTCAGTTTCCTAAGTAAAATATCTGGGAATCCCCTCTGACCCATGCATGTCAGGAGAACTGATAGGGAACAGTGTAGTAAAGAAAGTGAATGTCAGACAGAAGTTCTTGTACAGACAAGCACAGTGTCTACCTACTGAGGCTCGCAGGACACTATGTCTACCTCTTATGCACTGTTATATGGACTACGCTTGATCTTCATGGTACTCTGCCTTGACAAAATAACTGAAAGATAAACTGCAAATCACCCAGAACAAAATGGTAAGATTCATCCTGGACCTTGGACCAAGAGAACATGTAGGCCAGGATGAATTACAACTGTATATGCTGAATGTTGAAGACAGAGTAAAACAAGTGAAGTTAAATCACGTTTATAAAATTGATCACAAACAGTGTCCAGAATATCTTGCTGTCAATTTTGTCAAGGTTGGGAACCAAAGCAATCATAGTACTAGGGGGAGAGAACACAACTTTGTAGTACCCACAGTCAGTGGCCAGGCTTCAAACACCTTTTATTGTACAGTAATAAAGGAATGGAACAGACTACCTGCACATGTCAAAGCCAGTCATAGCGTGAACCAGTTCAAGAAGAGTGCCAAAAGGTGTCTGATGAATGTAGCTACAGAAAGGGATGAGAGTGATTTCTTGTAAAGCTAACATACATGTACCTATTACTGTGATCTGATTCTCTTTTTAATGTATATGTAAATAACTCAGTTTACCTTAATCCTAGTATATCTCCTTTTATTGTAACTGCTTTTCACATAGTTGAGTTACTTACCTATTTTAACTTTTAAAGATTCAATAATAAGTTGTTATAAGGACCCTAATAGAAATAAGTCACTTTTGTCTGACTTGTTTTGGGTTATCCTAGGTAATCTACAAACATGTTACTATGTATAATTTGTGTAACTATTTATGTGTATCTGTACATAAATAGACCGACTGACTTACTTACTAACACCCACTAGGAGCTTCTTTCCAGTCTGGACTGACAAAGTCTTAGTACTCTTGCAACATAAATGAAAAGGTACGGTAACAAATTTGACAGCACTGGAAATCGTCATATTACCTGCCATAGATCATTTAAGAATCACAGTCATGTCTTAATACCCACTTGTGTGTTTTACTTAATTACCTGCCACTGTTAATCACTAACTCAAGAAAGTGTAATTAATGTGATTGCAAGCAGATCGTGGGGTTTGAACTTATGGCAAGTAAGCTATGGCTGGCCCGGAATTTTAAGACTCGCTCACCATGGGCTCATACCCCACCTGTTCCATGGTTTGTTTTAAGAACTAAGTTTGACTTGCATGATTCCCAGTAACATCAGTGGGTAGTCAATAGTGACAGTGTGTTATCTGTGACTAGTTAATGGTGTGACTAGCTAATGGTCCAGGTCTGGCCAAAATGTCATCATTCTCTTATGTATGGGCTATTTGTGTACTGTAATACTTTGTATGTTACATTATTGTAAGTTTGGTAACAGAAGAATTGACATTTCAGATTCCATGTGATAAGGTCCAAAACTTAGTGGCAGTGATGGCAAAGGAGTTTTCAGGAAACAACAGCCAAAACTATTTGAACTTTATTGATGCTCACTTTTTCAGGTATGTGTTAATATTTCCTTCAAGTACAAGGTTTCCATTTTTACACAATGCAGTTTTTTAGTATATTCTCTCTTTGTGAAATTAGTTTTTCTGTGCATTTTATGTAGGATACAGTAAAATCTGAAATGGATGCAAATATCCCATGAGAAGGTTGAAATTTACCATGAGGCCTTTTAATCCTTGATTGAAATCCTCATCAGAAGCTGGAGAGTCCAGTAATAGGTGGGAATAGAATGCACTCTTTCAAGTGGCACTCTGTTCTTTACTCAGGATTTTCACAAGGTTGTCATTTATAATAATATGTTTTTTTTATTAATACATTGCCGTCTCCCACCAAGGCAGGGTGGCCTGAAAAAGAAAAACTTTCACCATCATTCACTCCATCACTGTCTTGCCAGAGGTGCGCCTACACTACAGTGATAAAACTGCAACATTAATACCCCTCCTTCAGAGTGCAGACACTGTACTTCCCATCTCAAGGACTCAAGTCCAGCCTGTCGGTCTCCCTGAATCCCTTCATAAATGTTACTTTGCCTACACTCCAACAGCACGTCAAGTCCTAAAAACTATTTGTCTCCATTCACTCCTATCCAACACGCTCATGCATGCTTGCTGGAAGTCCAAACCCCTCCTTTACCCCCAAACCTCCTTTACCCCCTCCCTCCAACCTTTCCTAGGCAGACCCCTACCCCACCTTCCCTCCACTACAGATTTATACACTCTCGAAGTCATTCTATTTTGTTCCATTCTCTCTGCATATCCAAATCACCTCAACAACTCCTCCTCAGCCCTCTGGATAATAGTTTTGGTAATCTTGCACCTCCTCCTAATTTCCAAACTATGAATTCTCTGCATTATATTCACACCACACATTGCTCTCAGACATGACATTACTGCCTCTTGCCTTCTCCTTGTTGCAACATTCACCACCCATGTTTCACACCCATATAAGAGTGTTGGTATAGCTATACTCTCATACATTCCTCTCTTTGCTTCCATGGACAAAGTTCTTTGTCTCTACAGACTCCTAAGTGCACCACTCACCTTTTCCCCCTCATTCTTCTGTGATACACCTCATCTTTCATAGACCCATCTGCTGACATGTCCATTCTTAAATGCAGTGGAAGCCCGGTTTTCATCCAGTCCGGTTATCATACAGTTCAGTTTTCAACCACTTTACCTGGAGTTTACCTGGAGAGAGTTCCGGGGGTCAACGCCCCCGCGGCCCGGTCTGTGACCAGGCCTCCTGGTGGATCAGAGCCTGATCAACCAGATCAACCCTGTTTTTGTACATCCGCTCAGAAATCGTCCATACCAGACGCATCCGCCTGCCTGTGGGACACGGCCGCTCATACGTTCATGACTCAGTCTGTCTTTGTTACTCGTTCAGTGAGCATTACTCCGTGCGTGCATCTGAAACATTTCGTAATAATCCATTGTTTTTTGTGCTTGCGACTGCTAAATATGCCACCAGGGGGCCAAAAAAAGTCCCAAGTGCCAGCCCTTTGGTAAAGAAGGTGAGAAACACGATAGAGTTCAAGAAAGAACTCGTAGAAAAATACAAAAGTGGTATACGTGTGGCCAAGCTCACCAGGATGTATGGGAAGGCCAAATCAACGATCAGTTCCATCCTGGCAAAGAAAAAAGAAATCAAGGAAGCTGATGTTGCAAAAGGGGTAGATGTGCTAACGAAACAGATCGCAAACAATCAAAGATATTGAGAAGTTGTTGGCGTGGATCAACCAGAAATAGTTAGCGGGAGATAGTGTCGTGGAGGTGATAATTTGCGAAAAGGCAAGGCAGTTGCATGCAGATCTTGTGAAGAAAATGTCTGGTACTAGTACTGTTGTTAGTGAATTCAAGGCCAGCAAAGGCTTGTTTGACAGATTCAAGAAGCAAAGTGGCATACACAGTGTGGTAATGCATGGTAAGGCTGCAAGTTTGGACAAACATGGGGCCGAAGAACTCATTGATGAATTCAAGGAGTACATAGAGGCTGAAGGATTCCTCACCCAATAAGTCTTCAGTTGTGCTGAAACAGGCCTCGTTTGGAAGAAAATGCCAAATAGGACCTACATCACGCAGGAAGAAAAGGCACTGCCAGGACACAAGCCTATGAAGGATAGGCTAACTCTTGTTCTGTGGTAATGCTAGTGGGGATTTCAAAGTGAAGCCTTTACTGGTGTATCACTCTGAAAATCCCCGAGTGTTCAAGAAAAACATCATCATCAAGAGTAAATTGTGTATGATGTGGAAGGCTAACAATAAGGCATGGGTCATGAGGCAAATTTTCATTGAGTGGGTCAATGAAGTGTTTGGCCCAAGTGTGAAGAAATACCTCCTGGAAAATTAATTGCCACTTAAGTGCCTCCTGGTAATGGACAATGCTCCTCCTCCTCCTCCAGACTTAGAAGACCAATTGTTGGGGGAGTTTAGTTTCATCACAGTGAAGTTCTTGCCCCCTAATACCACTCCTCTCATCCAGCCCATGGACCAGAAGGTCATTTCAAACTTTGAAATTTCTACACCAAAGTAATGTTTCAGAGGTGCTTTGAAGTGACCTAGGATACTGAATTACCCTAAGAAAGTTCTAGAGGAATCACTTCAATATCCTCAATTGCATAAGCCTTATAAATAAGGCTTGGAAGGGAGTGACTTCCAGGATGAGTAACTCTTCTTGGAGAAAATTGGGGCTAGAATGTGTCCTCCAGAAGGATTTCAAAGGGTTTGAGGCTGACCCTGATGACCCTATGCCTGTTGTGGAATCTATTGTGTCTTTGGGGAAGTCCATGGGGTAGGAGGTGAGTGGCCAGAATGTGGAAGAGTTGGTGAATGACCACAGGGAAGAGCTAATCACCGAAGAGCTGCAAGACCTTCATCTGGAACAGCAACAAACCTTAGCTGAGGAAATTGCTACAGAGGAGGAGGAATAGAGAGGGAAGAATGTGCAGCCTTCAGCAGTAAAGGACATTTGTGCAAAGTGGAGCGAGGTGCAAAGTTTTGTGGAGAAATATCACCCTAACAAAGCTGTTGCAAGCTGTGTCAGCAACATGTTCAATGACAGTGCCATGTCTTATTTTAGGCAAATCTTAAAGAGACACCAGAAACAGGCTTCTCTGGACAGATTTTTTGTGCGACACGGGTCCAGTGACTCTCAAACTGGTCCTAGAGCCAGTAAAATATAAATAAGGAAGTAACCTTGGTTAGGGCTTTGATACCTGACGTCCTTATGGAGGGGGATTCCCCTTCCAAATAATACTCTCTCCTCCCTCTCCCCTCCTTGCCGTCTTCAGTACACCAACAAGAGTCTTCAATAAAGGTAAAAGTGATGTTAAATGTTCATTTATCCATTTCATTAGTCATTTATATTTATATCTTATTTTTTCTGTATGTAAAACTATAGTTATTCTCTATAATATGTATTTTTTGTTAATATTTTTGGATGTCTGGAACGGATTAATTGGATTTACATTATTTCTTATGGGAAATGTTATGTCAGTTTTCATACAAGTCGGTTTTTGGCCGACCTTCTGGAATGGATTAAAGATGAAAACCAGGGTTCTACTGTATCTGAATACATTCACCTCCTCCATACTCTCTCCCTCCAATTGATATCCAGTCTTTCGTCACCTAATTTTTTTGTTAACTTCATCACCTTACTCTTTCCTATACAGTGGACCCCTGGTTAACGATATTTTTTCATTCCAGAAGTATGTTCAGGTGCGAGTACTGACTGAATTTGTTCCCATAAGGAATATTGTGAAGTAGATTAGTCCATTTCAGACCCCCAAACATACACATACAAACGCACTTACATAAATACACTTACATAATTGGTCGCATTGGGAGGTGATCGTTAAGTGGGGGTCCACTGTATTCACTTTAGGCAAGATGGGACATACACAGATGACAGCCAAGAAATGAGTGAGATACTAAAGTCCCAATATGACTCAGTGTTCAGCAAGCCACTGCCCAGACTAAAGGTCAACAATCCAAATGAATTCTTTATGAATGAAACCCAAAATTTGGTCATCTCAAAAATCTCGGATTTTATTCTAACTCCACAAGACTTTGAAGAGGCAATTAATGACTTGCCCATGCACTCTGCCCCAGGCAAAGACTCATGGAACTCCGTGTTCATCAAGAATTGCAAGAAGCCCCTATCGCGTGCCTTCAGCATTTTATGGAGAGGAAGCATGGACACAGGAGTCATCCCACACACACTAAAAACAACAGACATAGTCCCACTCCACAGAGGTGGCAGTAAAGCAGTTGCAAAGAACTACAGACCGATAGCACTAACATCCCATATCATAAAAATTTTTGAGAGGGTCCTAAAAAGCAAGATCACCAACCACCTAGATTCCCATCAGTTACACAACCCAGGGCAACACGGGTTTAGAGCAGGTCACTCCTGCCTGTCCTTAGTTACTGGACGACTATGACAAGGTCCTGGATGCTGTAGAGGATAAACAAAATACAGATGTAGTATACACAGACTTTGCAAAAGCTTTCGACAAGTGTGACCATGGTGTAATAGCACACAAAATGAGTGGTAAAGGAATAATGGGAAAAGTTGGTAGATGGATCTACAACTTCCTGACAAATAGAACACAAAGAGTAATAGTAAACAGAGTAAAGTCCCAGCAGCCATGGTAAAAAGCTCTGTTCCACAAGGCACAGTACTCGCTCCCATTCTATTCCTCATCCTCATTTCTGACATAGACAGAGATGTCAGCCATAGTTCCGTGTCTTCCTTTGCGGATGACACCTGGATTACCATGGCAGTGACCTCCATCAAAGACACCGCGAGACTTCAAGCGGACATCAACCAAATCTTCGAATGGGCCACTCAAAACAATATGAAGTTCAACGAGGAGAAATTTCAACTACTCAGATATGGAAAACTTGAAGAAATTAAAAATGTGTCAGGGTATGCGACAAATTTTAACCATACAATAGAGCGGAAAAGTAATGTGAAGGACCTGGGAGTGATAATGTCAGAGGATCTTGCCTTCAAAGACCACAACAATATTTCTACCTCATCCACTAGGAAAATGATAGGATGGATAATGAGAACCTTCAAAACTAGGGATGCCAAGCCCATGATGATTCTCTTCAAATTGCCTGTGCTCTCTAGGCTGGAATACTGCTGTACACTAACGGCCCCCTTCAAGGCTGGCGACATTGCAGACCTGGAGAGTGTACAAAGAACTTTCACGGCACACATAAGTATGATAAGGCACCTAAATTATTTGGAACGGTTGAAGGTTATTGATCTGTATTCTCTGGAACGCAGGTGAGATACATGATAATATACTTGGAAGGTCCTGGAGGGATTGGTACCAAACCTGCACACGAAAATCACTCCCTATGAAAGCAAAAGACTCGGCAGGAGATACAACATTCCCCCGATGAAAAGCAGGGGCACCACAAGTATACTGAGAGACAACACAATAAGTGTCCGGGGCCCAAGACTGTTCAGTTGCCTCCCAGCATACATAAGGGGGATTACCAATAGACCCCTGGCTGTCTTCAATAAGGCACTTGACAGGCACCTAAAGTCAGTACCCGACCAACTGGACTGTGGTTTTACGCCAGCTTACATGCAGCCAGCAGTAACAGCCTGGTTGATCAGACCCTGATCCACCATGATGCCTGGTCTCAGACCAGGCTGTGGGGGCCTTGACCCCTGAAACCCTCTCCAGGTAAACTCCAGGTACCCTACCAAACTCATCCACCAACCTCTACAACTTCTCTTCAGAATAGATGTGTTGTGTGAGTATTATGCAAAAAAAAAAAAATGGCTTGGAGAAATTAGAGGTCAGTATAGTAATATGAAAGGTACAGTTCAGAGAGCAGAATTATATATGCAGGATATATGCTGTAATATGCACATTTAATTTTTCTTCCAAGCAGTCTTCCGTCACAAGGAAACATATATACTCTCACACCTCTTACGGATGCTAAAGGATTCACTAAAATTCTTGTGGCTTCTCTCCAACGAAAGGTAAGAGTATAATGAATTAGTCTTATTTAGTAATGTTTTAATTTTCAGTATACTTTTCTTGTCATATTTATAAGTCTACTCTATATAGCCTCTACTCTATTATAGCCTTGATATTGTGTATTGTATATAATTTTAATATTTTAATTTTAAATTGTTTCAAAATGAGGCTTTTATAAATTCAGAAGTGTCTGCTGTTTTTAGCCTTAGATTGAATTGGAAATATTTTTATTCATGGAGCATGTCTCCATTTAGGGCTATAATTAAAAATAATCTTATCTCCCAAACTTAACTAAACCAACTCTATACTATGCCTGTAATCATTCGACCAGTTTGAAACTACTCAAATAATCCCTATTAACTCAAGACCACTGAATGTATTTGTATTTGTAAGTCACTTGCTGTCCCTATTCACCTAGCAGTAAGTAGGTACCTTGGTGTTAGCACCAACAGGTGAGGGTTGCATCCTGGGGACAAAATTAACCTAATGTGCCCAGAATGCTCTGCATAACCAGGGGCTTTGTATGTAGTATGTCATTAATGTCAGCTATGATCTGTATAAGTTGTATCAAGTACTTGTAGAAATAATTATTATTGTATTATTATTATTATTATTATTATTATTATTATTATTATTATTATTATTATTATTATTATAACCAGGCAACTGGAGTTATGTTATCTGGACTCATTAACAGATATGGCTAGGATACGTACTTATAATTACTCATCACTTTTTTGCACTCTTTATTTCAGGTATACTGTTTAGAATTCACCAGTGGGAGACCATGCATGAGGGAAGTCCCATTCACATATATACCTGGTAAGTTACTGTGTTATGTAGAGTTCATATTTTTGCTTTGTTTTTGGCATTATCAAATATTTATAACATCAGTTAATATTGTGTATTGTTCCAGACACTGTATTGTGCCTTTGTGTTCTTTAATTAATATTGTTATTAGTTGTACTAGATTTTTATAGAAAATAATAATTATAATAATAATAATTGTGGTAGGGGACCTGAATGCTAAAGTAGGAGAAACCTTTAGAGAGGGTGTGGTAGGTAAGTTTGGGGTGCCAGGTGTAAATGATAATGGGAGCCCTTTGATTGAACTTTGTATAGAAAGGGGTTTAGTTATAGGTAATACATATTTTAAGAAAAAGAGGATAAATAAGTATACACGATATGATGTAGGGCGAAATGACAGTAGTTTGTTGGATTATGTATTGGTAGATGAAAGACTGTTGAGTAGACTTCAGGATGTACATGTTTATAGAGGGGCCACAGATATATCAGATCACTTTCTAGTTGTAGCTACACTGAGAGTAAAAGGTAGATGGGATACAAGGAGAATAGAAGCATCAGGGAAGAGAGAGGTGAAGGTTTATAAACTAAAAGAGGAGGCAGTTAGGGTAAGATATAAACAGCTATTGGAGGATAGATGGGCTAATGAGAGCATAGGCAATGGGGTCGAAGAGGTATGGGCTAGGTTTAAAAATGTAGTGTTAGAGTGTTCAGCAGAAGTTTGTGGTTACAGGAAAGTGGGTGCAGGAGGGAAGAGGAGCGATTGGTGGAATGATGATGTAAAGAGAGTAGTAAGGGAGAAAAAGTTAGCATATGAGAAGTTTTTACAAAGTAGAAGTGATGCAAGGAGGGAAGAGTATATGGAGAAAAAGAGAGAAGTTAAGAGAGTGGTGAAGCAATGTAAAAAGAGAGCAAATGAGAGAGTGGGTGAGATGTTATCAACAAATTTTGTTGAAAATAAGAAAAAGTTTTGGAGTGAGATTAACAAGTTAAGAAAGCCTAGAGAACAAATGGATTTGTCAGTTAAAAATAGGAGAGGAGAGTTATTAAATGGAGAGTTAGAGGTATTGGGAAGATGGAGGGAATATTTTGAGGAATTGTTAAATGTTGATGAAGATAGGGAAGCTGTGATTTCGTGTATAGGGCAAGGAGGAATAACATCTTGTAGGAGTGAGGAAGAGCCAGTTGTGAGTGTGGGGGAAGTTCGTGAGGCAGTAGGTAAAATGAAAGGGGGTAAGGCAGCCGGGATTGATGGGATAAAGATAGAAATGTTAAAAGCAGGTGGGGATATAGTTTTGGAGTGGTTGGTGCAATTATTTAATAAATGTATGGAAGAGGGTAAGGTACCTAGGGATTGGCAGAGAGCATGCATAGTTCCTTTGTATAAAGGCAAAGGGGATAAAAGAGAGTGCAAAAATTATAGGGGGATGAGTCTGTTGAGTGTACCTGGTAAGGTGTATGGTAGAGTTATAATTGAAAGAATTAAGAGTAAGACGGAGAATAGGATAGCAGATGAACAAGGAGGCTTTAGGAAAGGTAGGGGGTGTGTGGACCAGGTGTTTACAGTGAAACATATAAGTGAACAGTATTTAGATAAGGCTAAAGAGGTCTTTGTGGCATTTATGGATTTGGAAAAGGCGTATGACAGGGTGGATAGGGGGGCAATGTGGCAGATGTTGCAAGTGTATGGTGTAGGAGGTAGGTTACTGAAAGCAGTGAAGAGTTTTTACGAGGATAGTGAGGCTCAAGTTAGAGTATGTAGGAAAGAGGGAAATTTTTTCCCAGTAAAGGTAGGCCTTAGACAAGGATGTGTGATGTCACCGTGGTTGTTTAATATATTTATAGATGGGGTTGTAAGAGAAGTAAATGCGAGGGTCTTGGCAAGAGGCGTGGAGTTAAAAGATAAAGAATCACACACAAAATGGGAGTTGTCACAGCTGCTCTTTGCTGATGACACTGTGCTCTTGGGAGATTCTGAAGAGAAGTTGCAGAGATTGGTGGATGAATTTGGTAGGGTGTGCAAAAGAAGAAAATTAAAGGTGAATACAGGAAAGAGTAAGGTTATGAGGATAACAAAAAGATTAGGTGATGAAAGATTGAATATCAGATTGGAGGGAGAGAGTATGGAGGAGGTGAACGTATTCAGATATTTGGGAGTGGACGTGTCAGCGGATGGGTCTATGAAAGATGAGGTGAATCATAGAATTGATGAGGGAAAAAGAGTGAGTGGTGCACTTAGGAGTCTGTGGAGACAAAGAACTTTGTCCTTGGAGGCAAAGAGAGGAATGTATGAGAGTATAGTTTTACCAACGCTCTTATATGGGTGTGAAGCGTGGGTGATGAATGTTGCAGCGAGGAGAAGGCTGGAGGCAGTGGAGATGTCATGTCTGAGGGCAATGTGTGGTGTGAATATAATGCAGAGAATTCGTAGTTTGGAAGTTAGGAGGAGGTGCGGGATTACCAAAACTGTTGTCCAGAGGGCTGAGGAAGGGTTGTTGAGGTGGTTCGGACATGTAGAGAGAATGGAGCGAAACAGAATGACTTCAAGAGTGTATCAGTCTGTAGTGGAAGGAAGGCGGGGTAGGGGTCGGCCTAGGAAGGGTTGGAGGGAGGGGGTAAAGGAGGTTTTGTGTGCGAGGGGCTTGGACTTCCAGCAGGCATGCGTGAGCGTGTTTGATAGGAGTGAATGGAGACAAATGGTTTTTAATACTTGACGTGCTGTTGGAGTGTGAGCAAAGTAACATTTATGAAGGGATTCAGGGAAACCGGCAGGCCGGACTTGAGTCCTGGAGATGGGAAGTACAGTGCCTGCACTCTGAAGGAGGGGTGTTAATGTTGCAGTTTAAAAACTGTAGTGTAAAGCACCCTTCTGGCAAGACAGTGATGGAGTGAATGATGGTGAAAGTTTTTCTTTTTCGGGCCACCCTGCCTTGGTGGGAATCGGCCAGTGTGATAATAATAATAAAAATAATAATAATATAATAATAATGTAGAGAGGATGGCAAAAGATAGGATTATGAAGAGGGGTATATAAATCTGGGGTGAAAGGTAGGAGGGGCAGGGGTCATCCCAGGAATGGGTGGAGGTAGAAGGGGGCGTAAAGGCGGTTTTGAGTTTTAACCCTTTCAGGGTCGAGAGGCCCTCTCCTAAACTCGTTCTCAGGGTCGAAAATTTTTTGGAAAGAAAAATTATTTTTTCTCATGAAATGATAATCTTTTCCCGATCACAATAACACCAAAAGTATGAAATTTGATGGAAAACTTACGGAGTTATGCTCTCGCGAAGTTAGCGGTCTCGACGATGTTTACGCATCAGCGATTTCGCCCATTTGGAGCCCTATTTTTGGACAATTCCAGTGTACTAGTCAACAGAATTCATAACTGTTCGCTAGAACTCCATTTTCTCTATTGAATGAGTACAAGAAACCACCTATTTACCGATTTCAGCTATCCAATATAGTGGTCAGAAATTGGCAATTTTGCCAATTTCACACAAATTTCTAAGATGCCAATTTCTAAATAGGGTCCCGAATAAACAAGACAGACATTCCTGGCACTAAAATAACATTTTCTCTGTTCATTAGTCACATCCCTAGGCCCCTTTTACATCTCTTTTGCTTTCCACTTTGAATTTTTTTCTCACAAAAAATAGAAGATTTACTGTTATGCAGACTACTGTATTAGTGTAGAAATGGCATAAATAATATCAGTGCACTTGTGAAAGAATATTAGACTCACCAGTTGACATGTATTGGACGCTTGCCATGATTTGTTTACTTTTGATCTTTGGTAAAAATCGAACATTTCTGCTATTTTGGGCTCAATTTCAAGGTACTTTTCATTGTGAAACCAATCAAAATCATCTCTATTTCTGTAATACGTATTCCATTCTATAAAATGAGATCAGGAAAACTAGAATACAACCATAAATAGCATACGAAAATACACTGCAAAGTCGCTGTTTTAAACCAAAAACATGGTCAGAGTTCTTTTTTTTTTTCCCATTATGCACTGTGTGCTGCAGGATTTTTTTTATACTGTGCACACTGACCACATAGACCCATTTTTTCATATGTAGGCCTACCAGCTTTCTCTCGCTAGATTTGGAGGCGCTAGAATTTACGCGTACTAGTACAGTGGACCCCCGGTTAACGATATTTTTTCACTCCAGAAGTATGTTCAGGTACCAGTACTGACCGAATTTGTTCCCATAAGGAATATTGTGAAGTAGATTAGTCCATTTCAGACCCCCAAACATACACGTACAAACGCACTTACATAAATACACTTACATAATTGGTCGCATTCGAAGGTGATCGTTATGCGGGGGTCCACTGTATGTCAATAACCCTGGCGCGTAAGCCGTACTAGTATGTCGGAAACCCTGAAAGGGTTAAGGGCTTGAGCATCCAGCAGGCTTGTGTGAGCATGTTACACACAAGGTAATGGAGGCAGGTACTAATCATTACTGAACGTGCTGTTGAAGTGTGGACAAGGTAATACAAAGGGATTCAGGGAAAACAGACTTAAATCCTGGAGGGGATATAATCCTGCCTTCTGAAGGAGAGATGAGGATGTTGAATGTAATGTAAATACTCTACTGGGGATGTTATTGGTTATATTCTTATTTAATACTATGGAAAGAGAGATGTGAAGGAAGATTTAACCCTTTGAGGGTCGACAGGCCCTCTCCGAAACTCGTTCTCAGGGTCGGCCAAATTTAAAAAAAAAAAATTATTTTCTCTTATGAAAAGATAGAGAATCTTTTCCCGATCATAAAGACACCAAAAGTTTGAAATTTGATAGAAAACTTACGGAATTATGCTCTCGCAAAGTTAGCGGTCTCGGCGATGTTTACGCATCGGCGATTTTGCCCACTTTGAGCCCCATTTTCGGCCAATTTCACTGTACTAGTCGACAAAAAACATGAATATTTCGCTAGAACTCCATTTTTTCTATCGAATGGGTGCAAGAAACCACTCATTTATGAAATTCAACTATCCAGTACAGTGGTCAGAA